CTCTCTTAAAAAATAATCCACTTATCTCAAGTGCAAAACTACAATTCGGCTCTTCCAGCAATGAAGAAACAAGATAAGGTGGCGGCTGACTCTTTGTGCAGGCCAGGGGCCAAGAAGGCAGCTTGGATATCAAATCCGTATGATTTTTACTACAATTCAGTTATGGACCACGATGGGACAAGAAGAGAGACGAGAACACTCTTAATGTCCCGAAAAATGTCGAGCAAGAATGTGAAAAGATACACCCCACATTCTCTCAAATCAACAACGAAGAATCCAAGATCGAGTATGAGCTATAAGATGAGGAGGGTGACGAGAGTTGGAGGAAAATAGCCCGAACACCAATTAAAGCAATGTCATTAAAGTCTATAATGTGACAAGAAGAAAAACATGTGTAAAAATGAAAAATGTGTGGTTTTTAATAATTTCATGGCCCTCACTTTGACTAGTAAGGGTAATATTGTACTTTAGTTTAATGTTTTTTCTTGATGTTTCGAGTATTTTGTTACATTTGATATTGATAAAAAAAAATAGAAACTCCAATATCCAATAACTAATGTGACTTTCTCTTATTCAATTAATTAAACTAAAAGTTACAATAAAGAATTTTCAAGATTTGCCACCAATTAATTAAGTCGCTTTCATGTTTATTACATATTACTCATCTTGAGTCTCAGACATTGTCAGTAATAAATTGAAACTCTTTGACGCTAGTCAATAATCAATTGAAATGGTTTCGCATTAATAACATATCACACATCTCAAAGGCTTCACATGGATAATTTGACAAGAAACGATAGGAGTCCATTGACACACAATTACTCTTGCTGAATTTGTTTGTGAACAAATCTACAGAAGGTAAATTAGATGCGTTGACCAATAGATGCACGTAATCCACTAAATATATTCTTAATTCTTGAGTGGGTCAAAGATTACTAGATTCCATTTAACATATCCCTATATTTTTTTTTCTTTAACTTATACTTTTTACAAAGGATTTATTTTAGGTATATTTTTTTTTGAAACAATTTCGTAGAACCTAATTTTTATAGAAAGTACAATTAAAAAAAGAAGAAGATAGGTTTGGAGTCCATTAACACACTATTTTTCTTGTTGAATTTGTTTGTTAGTTCATTTATAGAAGGTAATTAGCCATAACACGGATACCGCACGATGCTCTCTTAAAAAATAATCTGCTTATCTCTAATGCAAAACTACAATTCAGCTCTTCCAGCAGAGAAGAAACGAGATAAGTTGACGCCTGACTCTTGGCACAGGCCATGGGCCAAGAAGGCAGCTTGGACATCAAATCCGTATGATTTTTACTACTATTCAGATATGGACTGGGATGAGACAAGAGAGGTGAGTACAGTCCTGACGTCCTAAAAAATGCTGAGCAAGAATGTGAAAAGATACAGCCCACATTCTCTCAAATCAACAATGAAGAATCTGTGATCGAGTATGTGGTATAAGATGAGAAGGGTGGCGAGAGTTGGAGGAGGAAAATAGCCCGAAAGACAATTAAAGCAATGTCACTAAAGTCTTTAATGTGACAGGAAGAAAAAACTTGAGTAAAAACTAAAAATGTGTGGTTTTTAATAATTTTGTGGCCATACTTGGACTAGCAAGGGTAATATTGTACTTTCGTTTAATGCATTTTCGTGATGTTTCGAATATTTAGTTACGTTTGATATTGGTAAAAATAGAAACAACATTCTCTGATAACTTATGTGACTTTTTCTTGTTGGATCCCAGATGTCATCCGTAATAAATTGAAACACTTTGACTCTAGTCAATAATCAATTGAAACAGTTTCACAGTAGTTACATATTACCCATCTTGAAGGTTTTCACATGGGTATTTCGACAAGAAAAGTTAGGAGTCCATTAACACACAATTTCTCTTACCGAATTTGTTTGTTAATTCATCTAGTAAACTAGACATATCACAGATTCCACAAAGGTACTCTCTTAAAAAGTGATCCACATGGTTGATCAATAAATGCCTATAATCCAATAATTATTTTCATAATTCTAGAATGGGTAAAAGATTGCGATATTCTATTTAACAAGTATGTATTTTTTTTTATTAAAACTTCTACCTTTTACAAAGTGTTTGTCTGATGTAAATTTTTTAGAATGTATTTCGTAATATGTAATTTTTGAGAGAATGTATAATTACAAAAGAAAAAAAGTTAGGAGTCATTAACACACAATTTCTCCTGCCGAATTTGTTTGTTAATTCATCTACTGAAGGTAAATTAGACATAACACGGATATAGTGCAATACTCTTTTAAAAACTGTTCCACACCATTGATCAATAAATCCACGTAATTCACTAAATATTTTCATAATTCTAGAGTGGGTCAAAGATTACTAGATTATATTTATCACATCTGCATATATTTATTTCATTAAGTTCAACTTTTTACAAAACATTTGTTTGATGTAAATTTTTGTAGAATAAATTTTGTAAAACATAATTTTTTAGAGAATGTATAACTCAAAAAAAAAAATTATGAGTCCAATAGCACACAATTTCTCTTGCAGAATTTGTTTGTTAATTTATCTATAAAAGATAAATTTGATGGAACACAGGTACCACACAATACTCTCTTAAAACATAATCCATGATGTTGATCAATAGATATACGTACTCCACTAAATATTTTTGTAATTCTAGACTGGAGCAAAGATTACGAGATTCTATTTAACATGTTTGTATTTTTTTTTTTTCTATTAAAGACCCATTTGATTGCAAGAATGGAATTTGGGTGAAAAGAAAATGAATTACAGGGAATTGAATTGCTTAGAACTTGTTTTCCTGAAAATTGTCAATTAATGCGTTTGATTCTATAATTTTCTACTTGAAAATTTTTGAAGTTTTCTATCTTTTGGTGTTTGTTTGGCTTTGTTTTTCATGGAAATTATCAACTAAAGGACAAAATTTGTTACAATTGGGGATAGAATTTGTTCCAATTGCCAAGAAAAAAAACTAGAAAACCAATTTCCATGGGTTTGGTGAGAATTAGTTTTCCACAAAACCAAGGAAATTGCACATATGTGGGAGGAAGAAAATTATTGCAATCAAACAGGCCAAAAGGTGAAAAATGGGAAATGAAAATTGGCCCTATCAAACAGGGCCTAACTTCTACTTTTCACAATGTAGATATTTTATAGAATCAATTTCGTTAAATGTAATTTTTTAGAGAATGTATAGTTTAAAAAATAAATAAATTAGGGGTCTATTGACACACAATTTCTCTAGTTGAATTTGTCTGTTAATTCATTTATAGAAGGTAAATTAGACATAACACGGATATCGCACAGTACTCTCTTTAAAAATGATCTAATTATCTCATGTGCAAAACTACAACTCGGCTCTTCCAGCAAAGAAGAAACAAGATAAGGTAATGGCTGACTCTCAGCACGGACTACAAGCTAAGAAGGTAGCTTGGACATCAAATCCTTATGAATTTTACTAGTATTCGGGGTTATGGAGCGCGATGGGACAAGAAGAGAGGCGAGAATAGTCTTGACATCCCTAAAAATATTGTGCAAGAAAGGGAAATGATACTTTCCACATTCTTTCAAATCATCAATGAAGAATTTGAGATCGAGTATGAGGTAGAAGATGAGAAGGGTGGAGAGAGTGGGAGGAAAAGAGCCCAAAAGCCAATTAAAGTAAGGTCACTAAAGTCTGTAATGTGACGGGAAGAAAAACTTGGGTAAAAACTAAAAATGTATGGTTTTTAATAATTTTATGGCCCTTACTTTGACTAATAAGGGCAATATTGTACTTTGCTTTAATGCATGTTCTTCATGTTTTCTATATATAGTTACATTTGATATTGATAAAAAATAGAAACTCTAATATTTTCATAACATAACTAGAGTAATTGGACAATTTTGCCCCTTTCTCCAAAAAATACTTTTCTATTGCCGTCAACTGTGAAATTGGAATATACTAAGGGACAAAAAAAAAAAAAAGGCCTGATGATGATCCTAATTAGAAGCTGAAGAGAAGAACTCAGCTCAAGAAAAACAAAGTTCCTCAAGATGAGGATGAAAATTAGGAATGTAGTTTCTTGCATTGACCCCTAAGAAGCCAGATCAGGTGGTTGGACTAAGTCAGCTGCTGTTGAGGATTGTTCGCTTGAAAGGGTGATGTTGATCCCAATAGCACTGATGAAGAGGATGGGGATGGGGACGAAGAGAAAGGTGATGACTCAAGATGTTGGTTGAGGACGAGAATCCTAGTTGGCCTCTGGATGCAGATGATCAAAACATTTGAGTATTTTGAGCAGCTCCCGATAAAAAATATCATCGGCAAATACAGCGATGAGATTGTGTTCTTGTTTCAAACGTAACAATAGGCAAGTTAGAGTTCTTCTGGAAAAGAATCTAACAAAGATAATCAAACCTTTTAGACTTGTATACGTAGAGCTGCCTAAGAATCACGATATCTTGCATTTGTTAAGTTGCCTATGAAACAATTTACTTCACTAGATGTAATAATGATAATTCAACAACGGTTATTGAGGGCAAGTGATTGCTAGAATGCTTTAAAAGAGCTCAAAAAACCTGCAACGGTGTACAGGGAAGCCAAAGATCCACTGCTCGACATCTTTAATTTCCATGATCAGATAGTGAAGATAGACATAAACATTGAGAGAGATTTTGCATAAGAACACTGACAAATTTTTTCTTAAGAGGTGATATTGTACCGGAAGAAATTGCGATGTAAAAGTGTAACTCCCGTCCCAACAATGTGATGATGATGACATTTAGTGTAAGGTACGTGTTGTGGTATGTATGGGGAGAAATCAAGTGTGGAATTCCAAAGGTTTTAAACATAGTCTTAAACCATGATATTTTTTGCCACAAGTTAAATGTTTAAATGCCGACTGAACTTTGTACCGTGTCATGGCTTACTCACCAAACTTCTCAAAGCAGCCCAGTAGCCACAGAACTTCACTCCGTTATTGTCCATTACTCACCGAGTGGACAGCATTTCATTTAATGCAGATGCAGATGCAGATGCAGATGCAGAAGATGGAAATATGACTTGGCCCGTTAACTCTTTCCAACTCAATGCCATTTCTGTCAATTCAAAACACGACACTTCATCTCCTCCACTGCCACCTCCACACACTACCACCCATTCTCCTCCTCCGCCACCACCACTCCCTGCTCCATGTTCATATCACGAACCTAAACCAGCACCACCCCAACCCTGTCCCATGATCTCCTCCAACAAAAATATATCATCCAACGGTTTGTTTGATGTAAATTTTTTAGAATAAATTTCGTAAAATGTAATTTTTTAGGAACTGTATAATTAAAAAACAAGAAAAGTTAGGAGTCCATTAAATTACAATTTATCCTGTCAAAATTGTTTGTAAATTCATCTATAGAAGGTAAATTAAACATAACATAGATACCGCACGGTACTCTCTTAAAAAATTATCGATGCCATTGATCAATAGATACAAGTAATTCACTAATTATTTTTTGTAAGTATAGAGTGGGTCAAAGATTACGAGAGTCTATTTAACACATCTGCATATATTTTTTCATTAACTTCTACTTTTTACAAAAGATTTATTTGATGAAAATTTTTAGAATAAATTTTGTAAAATTTAATTTTTTAGAGAAAGTATAACTAAAAATGAAAATTTTGGGAGTCCATTAACACACACAAGTTCTCTTGCCGAATCTGTTTGTTCATTTATGGATAGAAGGTGTTCTCTTGCCAAATTTGTTTCTTAATTTATCCATAGAAGGTAATCTAGATATAACATGGATCTGCATAGTACTCCCTTAAAAAGTGACCCACATCGTTGATCAATAGGTACACGTAATCCACTAAATATTTTCGTAATTCTAGAGTGAATCAATGATTACGAGATTCAATTTAACACGTCTGTATATATTTTTTTCATTAACTTCTATTTTTAAAAGAATTTATTTTATATGTACTTCTAGAATCAATTTTGTAAAACGTAATTTTTTAGAGAATTTATAATTAAAAAAAAGTTAGGAGTTCATTAACACACAATTCTCTTGCCAAATTTGTTTGTTAAATCGTCTATAGAAGGTAAATTAGACACAACACGAAAACCGCACGATAGTCTCTTAAAAAATGATCTACTTATCTCGAGCGGAACTACTACTTGGCTCTTCCAGCAAAGAAGAGACAAGATAAGGTGGTGGTTGACTCTCAACGCATGCCATGGCTTAAGAAGGCATCTTGGACATCAAATCCGTACGATTTTTACTACTATTCAGGTTTTGGACCACGATGAGACAAGGAAAGAGGCGAGAACGGTCTTGACATCCCTAAAAATGTCAAGCGAGAACATGAAATGATACACCCCACATTCTCTCAAATCAACAATGAAGAATCTGAGATCAAGTATGAGGTAGAAGATGAGGAGGATGGCGAGAGTTGGAGGAAAAGAGCTCGAAAGCCAATTAAAGCAAGGTCACTAATGTCTCTAAAGTGATGGGAAGAAATACTTGTGTAAAAACTAAAAATGTATGGTTTTTAACAATTTTGTACCTTACTTTGCCTAGAAAGGGTAATATTGAACTTTGGTTTAATGCATTTTCTTGATGTTTCGAATATTTAGTTACATTTGATATTGATAAAAAATGGAAACTCCATTATCCGATAACTAATATGACTTTTTATTATTCAAATAATTAAACTAAAAGCTACAATAAAGCAATTTTTAAGAGTTGCCACCAATTAATTAAGGCACTTTCATGTTTATTACATAATACCCGTCTTGGGTTGCAGATGTCATCAGTCATAAATTGAAATGCTTTGACGCTAGTTGATAATCAATTGAAACGACTTCACATTAATTACGTATTACCCATCTCGAAGGTTTCACATGGGTAATTCAACAAGAACAGTTAGGAGTCCATTAACACACAATTTCTCTTGCCAAATTTGTTTGTTAATTCATCTATAGAAGGTAACATAGACATAACACGGATACTGCATGGTATTATCTAAAAAAGTGATCCACACCATTGATGAATCAATACGCGTAATCCGCTAAATATTTTCGTAATTCTAGATTGGATCAAAGATTATGAGATTCTATTTAACACATCTCTGTATAATTTTTCATTGACCTGTACTTTTTACAAAGGATTTGTCCGATGTAATTTTTTATAGTAAATTTCATAAAATGTAATTTTTTGGAGAATGAATAATTTATTTAAAAATAAAAAAGTTAGGAGTCCCTTAACACACAAATTCTCTTGCTGAATTTATTTGTTAATTCATCTAAAAAAGGTAAATTAGACAAAATATGGATACGGCACGATACTCTATTAAAAAGCCATGTTGTTGATAAATAAATACAGATTTTTCATAATTCTAGAGTGGGTCAAAGATTATGAGATTCTATTTAACATATTTGTATATATTTTTTCATTAATTTCTACTTTTTACAAAGGACTTGTTTGATGTAAATTCTTTTAGAATAAATTTCGTAAAACGTAATTTTTTAGAGACTGTATAATTAAAAAGAAAACGAAAAGAAACGTTTGGATTTCATTAACGTAACAAATCAAATCTTTGAATTTGAAATTGCTACAAAAACAACATGCTTTTTTTTTTTCAAAAACTTGGGTTAAATCAAAAATTTTCTTAATTATCTTTTTGTTTTGTAGTTTACGCTTACATTCTATTACAATTTTCAAAAAATTATTGAAAACAAATGATTTAAGATACATAACTATCTTTTTTTTAAATAATAAAATTAAATCTTTTTTTTAAATAATGAAATTAAAAAGGAGGATTAAAATGAAGGTTAGAGTACATTAACGAAATCCAGCAATGCGCTATCCAACAATCAAGTTTAACTGGACCTTTTTCGGATTCATAATTCTATGAAATTGTCTAAACTCATTCAAGTACAATATATTTTCTAACATCATCTAAAATGTACACTAAGACATATGAAAAAAATATATATATATTCCCAGTATACTGAACACATCATAAGGCAAAGGGTATAACTTATCCTACCAACCTTCAACTGACTTGATTCCAAAGTCAATGAACAGACGACTCATAGGGCTTTCAAAACTAATTTTGTCCAAAAACTGAAAAATTCTGCCAGGATGGCGCAACAAGTTCATGCTGTAAGCTGAAATTCATTGTTTACAAGTCTAAGGTTTAATCTTAACTTATTTAGCAACTTTAATTACATGCATACGTAAACCAATTAAAATTTCAATATTCACATCAAGAAAAAGAACTAAGAAGTCTTGTAGAAAAGTAAAGATAATCTAACATCTTTTAGAAGTAAAACATAAGTTGCATAACTAGTAAGAGCTATAAATTCTTCAAGTGTGACAATTACACAAAGGAAGTACCTTTCTTCCTTCAAATCCTCCTCACGTAAATCCCTCTTCATCAACCATTCTTTAATCTAAATTATATCATATTAACCTAGTTAAATTGATCTTTAAGTAGGAATTTAAAGAGTTTTAAATCCATAAAAAATAATGCTTATAAAAAAAATTTTAAAAAAATTCAAGATAAAAAATGGAGGATAATGAATTATTTATGTGATTTATAATCTATCTCTGTGAATGTCCACTCGCAAAAACTATTATTCCATCTAATTAATTTGATATAATTATTCTTAATGGACAAAATAAGGAGTTTTTAACTCCAAAATACTTTTTTTAAAAATATTTGCATAATAATTCGAACATGAGTTGTCTATGTGAAATACCATGCAGATGATCATTGTGGCAATCCAATTATTCATTAAATTTTGTAATCAGATTTATTTAAATTTAATGTCTTAAATCTTTGAGCTTTTAAATAATTTATACCTTGGGCTTTCATTACCTTAAATGGGTCAAGCCTCCATTACTCATTTCTTAAATAGGTTATGTTGTCAATTTTTATATCTCACAAGTGTTCGAATCATCACAAGTAATGAAGTGGACCTATGAGTCCATATATCGTTTTCATGAGGACTACTATTTAACAATTGATTCAATTTTTCCTAACTTGAATTTTATTGAAAATAAATAAAATAGTTATTTTCTTTTTTGTAATTTTCTATTTTAAATATACTAAAACAAATAAATGTGATTTTTTTTAATTAATATCGTTCACGAAATCAAGAGTTAGTGGCCAATTAATCCAAACATTAAGAATAGAAGCAAAAATAATTCAAAAAATCAATTGGATATTTAAAACTTTTTTATTAAAATTAAGGTTCAAAACTAGGTTACAATCATTCATCCTAACTAAATACTTAATTACATATCATGGGAGAACAAAAATACAAGAAAAATTAAATTACATTACCAAGTATTAAGGAAAACGAGAAAAAGATGAAGATCTTGCACCAAGATTCTACTGCTTCTTGTGAAATACTTGAAACCCGAGCTTCCTGATAGATTTCTTGATTTGTCTTCCTCCTTTTGGCTTAAATAATATATGTACGATGATCCCCCAAACCTTGACTTGAATATATGTATATAACGAAACTCCACAAGCCCTCTTTAATTGTTAGGCTAAGGTATGTATTTATAGAAAAGATTTATGCAAAATCCTTGTTCAACTTGATTTTCACTAGAGAGTTTAAATTGGTTTCTACTAAATAGTTCAAATTAGTTTCTACCAAAGAGTTTAAGAAGTAAAAGAAAACAAATTCCCTTTTTAATTGAACTCCTTTTTCTCGTATAACTTTATTCCTCCATCTTCTTTTATTTTTCAATTAAGTCCTCTTCATTCCAAAATCATAATAGTTGACCGCGGCAAGTTTCGAAGTTTGCAAATCAATCTTCAAACTTTTAAATGTCGAATTTAACTCTCTTCAATTGCTTCAAATCAACTCTAATTAAGTTCCAAATAGCCTCTTTTCATATAAATTTTATCTAAGTTGTGATTGTCCTACAATTTACATAATTTACACAAATTAAGTTCATAATTGCTCAATTTGTATATAATTAAATAAAAATAGAAGTCTAAATAAGCGCATAAAATACATTTATTAGGTCATGCCAACAAACTTAAGAATATAAAATTTTGGACTTTATAATTAACACAAAAATTTTGTCGCCGAATTTGATTGTTAATTCATCTATAGAAAGTAAATTAGACATAACACAAATTCCGCAAGATACTCTCTTAAAAGTGATACACACGAGTTGGGCAATAAGTACAAGTAATCCACTAACAAATTTAAAAATATAAAATTTGGGACTTTATAATTAACACAAAATTTTTCTTGCCGAATTTGATTGTCAAATCATCTATAGAAAGTAAATTAGACATGTATATGGATTCCACAAGGTACTCTCTTAAAAAGTGATACACGCCAGTTGGGCAATAAATACATGTAATCCACTAAATAATTTCATAATTCCAGAGTGCGACAAAAGATTAAGAGATTCTATTTAACACACACATATATACCTTCTATTTTTTACGAAGAAATTATTTGATGTAAATTTTTTAGAATAAAATTCGTAAAATATAATTTTTTAGAGAATGTATGATTATAAAATAAGAAAAGATAAGAGTCCATTAACATACAATTTCTCTTGCCAACTTTGTTTGTTAATTCATCTACATTAGGTAAATTAGACATAACATGGATACCGCATGGTACTCTTTTAAAAAGCGATCAATGCCGCTGATCAATAAATACACGTCATTCACTAAATAATTTTGTAATTCTAGAGTGGGTCAAAGATTACGAGATTATATCTAACACATCTGCATATATTTTTTTCATTAACTTCTACTTTTTACAAAAAATATTTGTTTGATGTAAATTTTTTGGACGGTGATGGGGTAAGAAAAGAGGCAAGAATAGTCTTGACGTCCCTAAAAATGTCGAGCAAGAACGTGAAATTATACACCCCACATTCTCTCAAATTAACAATGAGGAATCTGAGATCAAGTATGAGGTAGAAGATGATGAGGGTAGCGAGAGTTGGAAAAAAGAGCCCGAAAACCAATTAAAACAAGGTCACTAAAGTCTTTAATTTGAAGAGAAGAAAAACTTGTGTAAAAACTGAAAATGTGGGGTTTATAATAATTTTGTTGCCATTACTTAGACTAGTGAGGGTAATATTGTACTTTGGTTTAATGCATTTTCTTGATGTTTTGAATATTTAGTTACATTTTATATTGATAAAAAATAGAAACTCAATTCATTATCCGATAACTAATGTGACTTTTTCTTATTTAATTAAAGGTTACAATAGAGCTATTTTTAAGAGCTTCCACCAATTATTTAAGGAACTTTCATATTTATTGCATATTAGCCATCTTTGGGTCATAGATGTTGTCTGTAATAAATTGAAACGTTTTGACGCTAGTCAATAATCAATTGAAACGCTTTCACATTAATTACGTATTACGCATCTCGATCATATCACTTTGCTTAATTGAACAATTTTTTGTATATAAATAAATTATACCAAAAATATTTTAATAACATAACTAGAGTAATTGGACAATTTTACCCATCAACTGTGAAATTGGGATATACTGGAAAAATAAAAAATAAAATAAAATAAATAAAAAATAACCTGACGATGATTCTACTTAGAAGCTGTAGAGAAAAACTCAGCTCAAGAAAACTGAAGTTCCTCGAGATGAGTATGAAAATTCTGGAATGTAGTTTCTTGAGTAGGTCAGCTGCTGTTAAGGATGGTTCGCTTAAAAGGGTGATGTTGATTCCAATAGTAGCAGTGATGAAGAGGATGGGGATGGAGACGAAGAAAAAGGAGATGATTCAAGATGTTGATAGAGGAGGAGAATCCCAATTGGCCTCGGGATGCTGATGATCAAAGCATTTGAGTATTTGAGTTGCACTTGATAAAAAAATATCATAGACAAGTACGGCTCGGAGATTGTGTTCTTGTTTCAAACGTTACAAGAGGCAAGTGACAGTTTTTTTGGGAAAGAATCTAACAAAGATGATCAAACATTTTAATTTTTTATTCACAATATTGAATATAGCTTAAATTCCTTTCCATTATATAGCTGCTGACATGGCAGATTTGTTAGCATTTTTATTCTTTCTGTTTCTTCTATACAGCTTTGTTTTAGTTAGTTAGTTAGAGCTACACTCTATATATACTTGTAAAGATTGATCAGTAAATGAGAAGAAAATGTACCATCACGTATTCTCTTGTTTCAATAATTCTATTCTTCAGATTTTGTTATGTTATAGAGCAAATCTAGCTTCCTCTTCCAATCATGGCTATCAATCAACAGGCCGCCTCTGAGATTCACGCAGGTTCTGCAATTCTGAGAGATGTTCAACGTCCCATCTCCAGCACGCAATCACCAATTTCATTGGAGAATTCTGCTGGTGGTCCTGCCATTCATGTGGAGACGAATTTTCGAGTCATGGATGAACCTAACAACCCGTACTACCTCCACTATGGCAAGAACACTGGTGCCCAACTCATCTCTGTCGTCCTCTCTAATGAAAATTACTCCACTTGGAGCAGAGCAGTAACTATGGCCTTAAGTGTTAAAAATAAAGAATGTTTCATTGATGGCTCAACTTCTAAGCCAGATCCCAGCGATCCATTATGTGTCCAATGGAGAAGGTATAATCACATGGTGTCTACATGAATAATAAACTCAATCCCCAAGGAACTCTATCCCAGTGTCATGCATAAAGACTCAACATGAGACATCTGACTTGAACTCTATGATAGATACAATCAAAGCAATGACCCTCGCATTTACTAGCTGCATAAATTAATTTCTTCAATTTCACAAAACAATGGATCTTTTAGCTCCTACTTCAATAGATTGAAGGGACTCTGGGAAGAGTTGGCTCATTACAGGCCACAACACCATAATCTCTATCACTCTGATGATCAGGTAATGCAATTTCTGATGGGATTAGACGATTCCTACACTGCTGTTAGAAGCCAAATCCTTCTTATGGATCCAATTCCCTCTCTGAATCACATCTTTGCCCTAGTTTCTCAAGAAGAAAAGCAAAGGTAGGTGACATCTCTACACCAAAAGGTAGAATCTGCTGCTTTTGCCAGCCACAGTGTTGGTAATCAGTAACATCTCATTAAAAACACAAGTAGCAACAATTTTAGACAAAGGAAGGATAGGCCTATCTGTAGTTATTGTGGCCTCACTGGTCACAAAAGGGATGAGTGCCACAAACTCAATCGATATCCTCCAGGACATCGTCTATCTAAGAGGTTCCTTGAAAATGCATCAGCTCACCAAGTTACTGCATCAAACAATTCTGAAACTCTAAGCAGCCTCAGCAACATTACTATCACTCCTGATCAATGTCAACAGATCATTTCAACGCTGAGGCCTCAACTTGAAGCTTTCATGCCTTTACCTAGCACTACTGCTACCATTTCAATTACCACTGGTTCCGTAAATCATGTTGGGGACTTGCAAGTCACATCAACTCAATCTCCAGCAATGCCTTCAGCATCATCTTTCTCAAGTAGTAGCTGAGCACGTTATGCTTACACATACACTAAGAACACTTAGATAATCGATACTGGTTCAACAGATCACATTATTTGTTCTTTCCAACAACTTACCACCATCACAGCTACCATTAATGGGAATGTCAAGTTGCCTAATGGTCATGTTGCAGCAGTTATACATATAGGGACAGTTCAGCTTTTAAGTGATCTTACTTTGACAAATGTTTTATGTGTTCTATGTTTTACTTTATCTGCCAGTAAGTTGGTCTCAATTCACCATTGTTGTTTGATCTTCATATTTGCTTATGGTTTCATTCAGGACCTTTTATCTTCAAAGACGATTGGGATAGGGAAAATTGATGGTGGCATCTACCATTTACAGCTTCAACCATCTCGACAACAACAACATCACACTTCGCTGTCCAATAAATCTGAACCTACTGCCAATACTGCTTACAGTCATTCCTTTGACCTTTGGCATAGCAGATTAGGTCATGTTCCTAGCTTAGAATCTCTATTATCAATAAAACTGTATCAGAAGTACTTAGTGAATCAAATTTTCATTTTACCATCTATCCACTTGCTAAACAGCATGTATTACATTTTCCTATAAGTACACATATATCCAGCAATATCTTTGAACTGATTCATGTTGACATATGGGGACCTTTTCACTGTCCTTCTATTGATGGTTCCAAGTTCTTTGTTACTATTGTAGATGATTATAGTAGGTCTATATGGACATTCCTAATTAACAACAAATCTCAAACCAGGAGCACTATCATAACCTTCTATAATCTGGTCCTCACCCAATTCAACATTAAAATAAGACAGATTAGATCAGATAATGGACCAGAATTCCATATGGCGGACTTTTACCAATCTAAAGGCATCATTCAGCAACTCAGCTGTGTTGAAACCCCTTAACAAAATGGGGTGGTTGAACAAAAACACCAACACCTTCTTAATGTAGCCAGATCTTTGATGTTTCAAGCCAATCTTCCAAATCAGTTTTGGGGTGACTCCATTCTCACAATCACGTACCTTATAAACAGAATTTCTTTATCCAGATTCTCTTAAAAAAGACTCTTTACGAGCTTCTCCTTAACACAAAGCCATCATATTCCCACTTAAGAGTAATTGGCTGCTTATGTTATGCATCTATGCTTAGAAGAAACATGTCAAATTTTGACCCCTAGAGCTGATGCATGCATTTTTCTTAGCTACCCCAATGGAATGAAAGGTTAGAAACTCTTCAACCTGACCACTCAACGTATATCATTTCAAGAAATGTAGTCTTTCATGTATCTGTCTTTCCTTTTCAAAGTATACCACCTCAAATTATCACCACCAAAATCCTCTCGCCTCTCTTTCTAGATAACACACTTCATCTCATCATTCTCCAGCACCTATAAGATCAGACTTCTCTCCTTCTCCAGCTCTCACTTTAGATTCTTCACCTACACACTCACCAACATTATCTCCAACGAATTCTACATTACCATCACACTCTACTTCTCCTCATCACTCCACTAACCTACCTCCACTTCAAGTTAGAAGATCAGAAAAGATTTATAAACCACCTTCATACCTTAAACAATATCACTGCAATTTGGCCATACACCATGATTCCCAACTCCAATCTGATTCCAAGATGATTGTTACACCTGGAACAGGTAAGCAATATGACATTTCAGCATATATTGGCTATGACCATTTGTCAGCTGCTCACAAGGCTTATATATTGTCCATATCATCCTCTTCTGAGCCTACATCCTATCATCAAGCCTCCAAGTGTCCAAATTGGTATGCAGCAATGGATGCCGAGCTCCAAGCTTTGGTTGCTAACAATACTTGGACTCTAACAACTTTACCCCCACACAAAACCCTTGTTGACTGTAAATGGGTCTATAAAATTAAATATAAGGCAGATAGCAGTTAAGAAAGAAAGAAAGCACGACTTGTTGCCAAAGGCTTTACACAACAAGCTGGGTTGGACTATCAAGATACTTTTTCTCCCGTGGCTAAGTTGGTCACAGTTAAAGCACTTTTAGCAATAGCTTCAACACAAAAATGGTATCTGTTCCAACTTGATGTGAACAACGTTTTTCTTCATGGAGATTTGGAAGAGAAGGTGTACATGTGCATGCCTCTAGGGTACAAGCAGCAGGGGGCCAATGGTGTTAAACTTGTATGTAAACTCAATAAGTCCATTTATGGCCTTAAACAAGCCTCTAGGAAATGGTTCAACAAACGATCCAGTTTATTTTGCTCAATCTCAGTCAGATAACTCATTGTTTACCAAAATCAATGGCTGCTCATCTACCATCTTACTAGTCTATGTTGATGACATCATCATTGCTGGAAATGATGTGATGTACATTGATCAGTTTAAGAACGTTTTGGATCAACGGTTTAAGCTAAGGGCTCTTGGAACTTTGAAGTATTTCTTAGGTCTTGAAGTGGCTAGAAATAACATTGGGATCTCCATTTGCCAAACGAAATATGCTTTGGAAGTCTTGAAAGATGCGGGATACTTGGGTGCTAAACCCGCCAAAATACCTATGCAGCGAGATTTGAAGCTTTCTAAATTGGATGGTGACCTAATCACTGATCCCAACACCTACAGAAGACTTGTAGGTAGATTACTCTACCTTACCATCACCAGACCAGATCTTGCTTATCCAGTTCAAATCCTCAGTTAATTTGTTGACTCACCAAGACAACCACATCTTAATGCAGCTTTGCATGTACTAAGATATCTTAAGGGGACTGCAGGACAAGGTCTATTCTTTGAGAAGGATTCAAAGGTCCAGCTTAAAGGGTTCTGTGATGCAGATTGGGCTGCATGCTCAGATACCCAAAGGTCCATCACAGGATATTGTATATTTTTGGAAAATTCATTAATTTCATGGTAATCAAAGAAGCATAGCACTATGTCCAGGTCCTCTGTAAAAGCTGAATACAGAGCTATGGCTTCAGCAGTATGTGGATTAACATGGCTGCAATACATACTTGCTAATTTGGAGATTAAACACAAGAATCCAACATTATTATGCTATGATAATCAAGCAGCCATACATATTGCAACAAATCAGGTTTATCATAAAAGAACAAAACATATCAAACTGGATTGTCACATGGTCAGAGAGAAAATACAAGAGGGTAAGATCAGAACTATGTATCTAAATACTAAGGATCAACTTGCAGACATGTTAACTAAGTCTATTGGAGAATTGAGGTTCAAAACACTGTTAAGCAATAAGGGAGTTCATAATCTTCACCTTCCATCTTGAGGAGGCGTATTGAATATAGCTTAAATTCCTTTCGATTGTATAGCTACTGACATGGCAAATTTGCTAGCATTTTTATTTTTTTCGTTTCTTCTGTACAGCTTTGTTTTGGCAAGTTAGTTAGAGCTACACTCTATATATACTTGTAAAGATTGATCAGTAAATGAGGAGAAAATTTACCATCACGTATTCTCCTGTTTCAACAATTCTATTCTTCAGATTTTGTTACACAGAGCTGCCTATGAATCACATCATCCTGCATTTGTTAGGTTGCCTATGAAACAATTTGCTTCACTAGATGTAATTACACAAATTCGGCAATGGTTATTTGAGGGCAAGTGATAGCTAAAAAGCTTTAAATTAGCTCAAAAAAATTGCAAAGGTGTACACGGAAGCCAAAGATCCACAGCTCGACATCTTTAATTTCCATGATCAGACAGTGAAGATCGATATAATTATCGAGAGAGATTTCGCATAAGAACACCCATAATTTTCGTTCTTAAAAAGTGATATTGTATAGGAAGAAAGCGCGATGTGAAAGTGCAAGTCTCGTCCTAGCAATGCGATGATGATGGCATTCAGTGTAAGCTCCATATTGTGGTGTGTATGGGGAGAAAACAATTGTGGAAATCCAAAAGTTTTACGTATGTTTTTAAACTATGATATTCTTTACCACAAGTTAAATGTTTAAATGCCCACTGAACTTTGCACTATGTTACTGTTTACTCGCCGAACTTCTCAAAGCATCCCATTAGCCACTGAACTTCGCTCCATTATTGTTCATTACTCATCGAGTGGATGCCGTTTCATTTGATGTCGATGTGGAGGACGAAAATATAACTTGGACAGTAAACTCCCTCTAACTCAGAGCCATTTCATCAATTCAAACACGACACTTCATCTCCTTTACCTCTACCATATCCACCACCACCTGCCCCCACTACACCACCAATTCTCCTCTTTTGCCACCACCACCTCCTACTCCATGTTCACATCCTGAATCAAAACCAGAATCATCCCAAAGCTAACCCCATGATCTCTTCCTGAAACAATTTAACCTCTACCAGCACCTCCACCACCAAACTATAGCCCTAATCCCCAAATCCATTTCATTAACATCGCAATTGCATTTGTGAATTGTTAACCCCTTCAATTTGGGACAAAATTTGAAATCGTGAGTAATTTATTGTTAAAAATATAGTACATACTGGCCGAAGTTTTAATTTAGGAATTGGGATCTTACTAATATGGTGATAATTGGTTCAGATTCATGGGCTACTGAATGTTATGAATTAGGATCTTACTAATGTAGTACATATCACCACTGCCACCACCGCATTATTCCAATATGTCTATGATTTTCACAATGTAAAGAAGATGAGTCACTTTTTGCAGATCTTCATAAATTGTCGGAGTGTTCATCTGTGTTCCGCAGTGAGACGGTGCAGAGAGAAGTGAACATAGAAGACACAACCTTTCAACCACCGGGTGAGATCATGGGACAGGGTATGGTGCTGGAGGTGGTGAAAGAAGTGCTGCTCGTATAGGTTCAAAAGGTGAAAATGGAAGAAGACATTGGGACGGTGGGGATTTGAAGTGTGTGCTTTGAACTAATGAAATGACACTGAGTTGGAAGGAGTTAACTGGCTGAGTCATATTTTCATTATCCATGTTGGCATTTGTTGGAAAATACGGGTCTTGGGTTGTTCATGTGAGGTGATCCAACCCACAAAACATAAAGAGTTGAAGGGAGTGGTTTGAACTTAGAATTCAAACCTACAATTCCTTGTAACCACCCTTAACTCCTGTACAACCTCCAGTTTTTGTCCAGCATTCGAGAGAGAGAATGATGAACAAAAAAATGATGAAATTCATAAGGAAAATATTACCAAAATTGGAAAGGCCCTAAAATCACTATTTTGGCTTGAAAATTCACAAAATAAGGCAGTTAAATTATGGATAATAATCCCTTTCCATTGTGATCGGGATTGGGACCATTGGAGTGCAAAAAAGCTGTAGATTTGGAGATTTGGTATCGAAACTCTAAGGTTGAATTCCTTGCAATATTTCATGCTTAAATATCCCATTACATAATTTAATTGAGTTATCAATTTTGTATGTAAAGTTTTCATTACGTGGTTTTTATGACAACTTTTGATAATTTACTGATTTTGTACATTAATAATTATGCAATAAGATTAGTATGGTTAGAGAGATATTTCAATGAGCTTTCCAACCATATAAAAAAAAACTTAAATTTTGGACGTAACATGAAGAAATGATGAGGTTTTGTGATCTAAACCTACGTAGCAACGGCGGCTACAAAACTCACAACGAGATTGAGACCAAATCCTAAGAACGCCAACAAGCAAGGTTTTGAATTTAATCCACAAAAGATGAACCAAGCAACCAATAATTGAATAAATTACCGACTTCTTGATTACACAATTTATGAATCTCATCTGGATTTGTGAACGCCACAAGAAAATAAATTTCTTGATAAGTTCGATTGTCCAATTAAGAACAAAGATTTTGAAGCATAAAGCCTCGTGTAGAAATTCTCTATTAATTCATGGTAGAAAAGTCTTTTCTTTTCTTTTTTTACAATGAGAAATAATAAACCTATTTATAGGAAAACCTCAAAACCTAGTTTAAAATGGAAATAAACTCTAAAAGATTACAAAAGATCAATTAAAATAAAATTCTAGTGTAATTAGAAAACTCGCGAGAAAAGGAAAATTCGCGTCTAGAAGTTGTAATATGCGATAGCATAGTATAAATCAGTGTAGTCGCATAGAACAAACATTCAGCCTCAATTTTAGTTCTGACATAGGGTATGCGGCCATGTGGATTCTAAGCTATGTGGTCACGTAGTTTTTATTTTTGAAACCTTTATCTCCTTGTGCAGAATTCATGGCGATTTCTGATTGTACTCATAGGCAAAAATCTGACATCCGAGCTGAAAGTTATTCCCATTTCAATCCATGTTCCTCGTTTTTCCATATATCTTATAAAACTTTTAATCCAACACACCAAACGTGATTTTGCCTTCATGATCAGCGTGTGAGTTGTTGTTTGGCTTGTTAACCTCAACATTTTGTATTCCATAGCTCGATCAAACAATTGCATGGTCTTGCTGGCTCAAATTGAACTTAAATCTTGACCTTAGCCTCTCTTCATCAATCAATAAATCCTTAGGAGTTCGGTGCCTATCCTGGATCACATCATTCCTTCTCTCTTCGAAAGGGTTCGACCTCGAATCCAGACCCAAGTTATAAACTTTATTCCCAATCAATGCAATGACATGAAATGGCCCGTCTCCTCTCGAATGCAATTTGGACTTCTTCTGAACTCGAATCCGCCTCTTTCAGATGTAAACCCAATCTCCTTCACATGGATCAAAGTGTTCATGCCATGACTGCTTACTCTTGCTAGTTTGAAATCCAATAACAACTTCATTTGATGAATAATCGTTCATCCTCTCTGTCTTATCTTGCTTAGGCACTTGTAGTAATGACACTTCAAATGGATTCATGTTTCCCTTCAGATCATCTTTGTCGTTCAACCCCTTGAATATAAATTCCTTCCATTGCCTTTGTAATTTCTTCGTCTCCTCAGGGATCACAAATTCAACCTCCGATAATGAAGA